CAAAGTAGCGCGCTAAACAATAAAAGAAACAGTTAATACCAAAGGGTTCGACACCTGAGAATCAATAAAAATATTCATAACAAAATGGGGTCAAATATTTGTCTGCAGGGATTCCAGCAATCTTCTCAAGAAAACAGTCGAAAGGTTAACAGACACACACTAAACCATGAAGTGACCTTTAGCTTAGTCAAACACGACCTTACTGTTAATAGTCCGGCAACATGCAATAGAAAATTGGGTAACAAAAGATAACCCTTATTCAAAATCACACAAAATCTCAGACGAGGAAGACTAAAGAACAAAAGGTGTGGTTAGACGAGATCTGAACAAAGTTTAAAATACATGACAGGGAGAAGAAGCAAATAAATGACAGTACTGTCCAACAAAAATATGTGGAGGGATTTTCATCGTTCTCTTTCCGTTACATTGGCAACTAAAATCCCTCCAGATACCCAAAGGCACCTTAGAATACATTCCTGTCATGGCTCTCCTTACTAACCGCTTTATATCAATGGGATGCACAGGACTTACAACAGTACGCCTGTACACCCATAAACCTAACATACAATCTACAATTACTCAGCTCCCTCTAGAAGGCAGAGCTTCTGCACATCTGTTCTTACCATCTCTTCTTTCATACGTACCATCACTGTCCTTTCCAACCCATCTCCATCAGTCTCGCACTTGTCAACCCGTCCCATTGGCCATGAGCCACGAGTAGTTGTATCGTTAGCGACTAAAACTACATTACTGCTAGGTTTGAAGCTATCACTAGTCCACTCAATCTGCGAACGAGGAACAAGACTTGCCGAACAAAGACCAGTAAGTTAGCTATTGATGCGTTCCAGCCCCACTATCTAGAGAGAGAAGTCCAAGCTTAGAATGGGAAGTATATTCTGCAACAGCCAGAAAACAAGCGAGCACAACCAACACAATGTAAAAACGTATATATATATATATATATATATATATATATATATATATATATGAATGATATTGCCATGGAGCTCTTAAACATTTAGTCGATAAGTTGGTCAATCGACTATGTGGGTGGGTGGTAAGAAATGCCCACGCATACATCTGCATACAAGCTCCACAAAGATAAAATTGCAAAATATGAGTTTTGGGGATCTATCGTCCCTAACAATTACATTCTTTTAAGTTTCTGTGTTTGCAAAACTATTTCTGTCTCACTTGCAGTAAAGGAATGTACTCTTTTATCTATGGTCGACTGAAGGTATTGGCTAAACAATTAACCTGTCTCCATCGTTTTGAATACTTATCCGCAATACTACATTCCATCCCTAAACCACCACAATCTCTTAGTAGCAACAGAGTGTTTGGCGTGAGCGCCAAATCATTCTTTTCATCTGATGTCACAGGAACAATTGGACGTTCATTTAAAATTCTTTCTATCTGCACAAAATAGGTTGCTAAACTACCGTCATGTGAGATTTGTTCGTTAGAAATAGATAGCAAGATCCTCCGAACAGGGCTTATTAATCTCTTCCAAACTCTGCCTTGATTGCTAGCTAGTGGAGGATTGAAATGCCAGCGTATACCCCTCGATGTTATGAAGTCATTTATTCTATGCTCGTCCCATACACTCATATTGGCTCGCAATTCAGAAGTAGCCCCGACAAATTTAGTTCTATTGTCGCTGTAGATTTCAGTAGGAGTTCCACTCCTTCCTATGAAACATATTAAAGCCTTTATGAATGCATAAGTACTCGAATTGAAAGCTACTTCCAAGTGTACGGCACGTGTTTGGAGACACATAAAAAGGCATCCATAACTTTTTTCTTCACTTCTTCCCCAATGAACTATCAGCGGCCCAAAATAGTCTATTTGGACGGAAGAGAAACAGAACCAACCTTGCTGAACTCGACACTCAGGGAGAGGCGCCATCATCTGTTGGTCCAATATGACTTTCGCGCGTATACACCCCACACATTTACCTATCATCCGTTTAAATGCACCGGTCCCTTTAACAATTCAATAGTTTCGCCGTGGGGGAGCTAGCACTTGCGATGTCCCGGTGTGACCTTCCAGGTGGTGGCGGTGGCGGTGTCTGATAATAAGTTCTTTCACGCAGTGATGACTGGGTAAAATTACGGGATGTTTGACTGAGAGTGGATAATCCGAGTAATTTAACCATCAGCCAACACAAAGCAATCCATTGATAAATGTAGGGGAAAGACTTTGTTGTGCTCTTATATCAGTTGCGCTTACGCAATTGTATCGAGACACTTTTAATGCTTCCCCATACACTTCCTTTTTCATTAAAACTAACACATTGTGTTTAGTTGCATCTAACTCATCAACTGCCAGATAGCTTAAACTTAGGGACCTGTCTTCGTGACGAGGGTACATGATGGTTATATAGGTCACATATCCTCTGAGCCATGCTACTGCTTTAATCAGATTTATCTAATTTGAGTGATATAGCAGAATCGGACTTAAGTTATGTTTTAGAGTGCCTGCGTTGATCGTGTGACATCTTTTAAATTCAATATCTTCCGGAGGATTTTTGCAGATGAGCTTCGGTGTTTTTTAAAACTAATTCCTTCAGTATACCTTGTGATGCCTAGTCAGCAGGATTTTCATTAGATTCAATGTTTCCTCACTGGCCCACAGATGTTGAATGATGAATAACGGCCAGACGACTAGTCACAAAGGTGGAATGCCTGTCTTCTGTATTTTTTACATAATACAAAACTATAATAGAATCCGTCCAGAAGTGAGTCTTGTCAAACATCTGAGGAAGATTTCTAATTAAAACTTCACCCGTTCTAGCACTCAAAACTGCTGCTGCTAGCTCCAGTCTAGGCAGAGTTACCTGTTCTATAGGTGCGACTCTAGACTTACTATAGAGCAAAACGCTGTGTGGTGTTTAGTAGCTAAATTTATGACAGTAGAAGCATTTTCTGCTAAGAAATAGAAAAATATTCAGTACGGTATCGTTGTTGATTCTAGTGTTATTTTGGGTCTAATTTATAAAGTCAGTTATCGCTTTTGCCAGTATGTTGTCCGTATGAGTTGATTTCCAATAACATCTGCATTAGTAGACTTGTGGTGTGTGCTACTTATGCAGATATAAGTAGTATATGATGTTAGTCGTGAACAGAATGCTTAGCAGCAGAGAGACAAGAAGATCGAACAGTAAACAATGAAAACAGAATGCAATTTGTATGAAAATGCTAGAACAATGAAGTCTGAGTCATTCTGAGACAATTGATGGACATTTCGCAAATTGAGCATTTACTTTATGGTTGTTAGATTTTATTAACACGTTCTGTAATTTGTCGTTAAATGCATTTGATTGTCCCCACCTGTGTTCTGTTCACTGCAGGCTAACTGAAGGAACAAAATGATAAATGAGCAGAAGAATTCCAACTACTGTCCCAGTTTGTTTGTTAAGTTAAATACGGTTTATTTAGTTGCATGAAGATTTTCCCGTCTTCAGTATTATTTACCCTGGTTATTAACCACATGATCTTTGAAGCTGAACATGTAATAACTAAAAAGATTCACTTTCGATATGTAACACCAAGATAAGGTTAAGAATGGTGGATGTGCGAATATTCATTCAACCTGATGGCATGGCTAAGCCATCCAGACGAGGTCATTCTGCATAACTCAATTTTATTCTTATCAAATATATTATTTCATCTTCAACCTAAATGTTTAGACAGTGATGGGACTTCCACGTAAGGTCTCATAGATTAGGTAGTCACATTATGACAAATGTATATATTTAGGATTAGGTCTATCAATATAGCAGTATTAATAGCGAACTAGCCCATAATTCTAAAAGTCCAAGGAACAATTGTTTTAAGGTGATAGTGAATACTTTTTTATGGAAAGATCTTGATGTGTTAGCTCCGCACTTCGAAAGGCCCTACTTCCGGAGAAAGAAATCTGAGACGCCAAGTGAGGCGCGACTTTTCTAGGGGCAACCTTTTCTAACTGCTTTCCGTTGTAGGGAGGCAGCGTGGCGAAAAATGCTGATTGTTCAAGGGCAGCAACTTGGTGTTGTTGCCTTCCTACAATCCGTAGTACAACTTCGCCTTTGGACCTTAATTTACTGAGTCAGTCTTATAGCTCTCCAATGGACCTGTCCATCATGGTTGGACATTATGGAACATGTGTTCTAGCCAATATAGCTCGATTAAATCATCACGATAGGAAAATTTGACCGCCACGTCAAGGTATTTTCTGCGATCGAGCAGCCTTCTGAAGTGAATGTTTTGTTTCTCTGTTACTGTCAGGTAAACTACCGCTTCATGTGGTGGTATTTTCGACATACTTTAATGCTGTATGGGTAATAAAAACTCCAAATCTATAGGTACTAGACAGCTATAAAGTATAACTCATATGACTAATTCGGAAAATGTTTTGTTGATGGTATGTGATAAAGGAAAGGGAATATTCTAGATAAAATTTTGGTAGACTCTTGCTTCAAGTAAAGAGAAGGACCTGTAAGTGTTTGAACTTCGTGTCAAGGTGACCTAGAGCAAGAAGTCATAGGATATTATGCCTTCTCAGTAAAACTACTTATCTTAAATAGTAACATGATACTGGTTATCTCCACAGCTGTATTCAGGTTAATGGCCGTTAAGCAACGAAAGTAAATTGATTTGATAGAATTAGCATATTCGTGTTCAGACCATTCAGTAATTTAGTTTAATGTAAAGACCAAACCGTGGATTGCTCGCTATCATTCTGAATGGCGATTTAGTCGTCGCGTAGGTATTTTTTGACATTGATGTATTCATCAGACTTAACTTCCTCAGATCTCTTGATTTACCCCCACTTCTAACGATTAACCTGGGCCAGTCTACTTACGAGACTATCTCCACTATTCTCTGAAAAATACTCGATACCCTTTCTAAAAAATAGGGTTGAAGGCCTTAGAAATAAAGTTATTCGTCACAAAGATACCGAATACAATGGGCATTCAATGTCTAACTGTTTGGACCTTGAAAGCATTCAACAAAGAAGTGGTTCTCTTGACTTGTGCGCTACTTCGTCGTTGTGGCTAGCAGTGTACTAGCTGCTGCTTTAAATTTTTCTGGCAAGTATCCTAGTCTCTTGCATATCAGATTTTTCCGTATATATCTGGCATACATATCGTTTTCCAACCTGAGCCATTTGACTCAAAGTTGCAATACTAGAAAATATAATATTGAGTCTGTGACATCATCAACGTTATTGTTGTCTATGAACGACTATTTTACTGTATGCTATTTAAAATTAGTCCCTTGATATTACTGATCAGTCATATAAAATTTTTGTTCCGAATTGCGATCTTTAATTCCGGCAAATTGCCTATTGTATGTCAAGCCAATCTAAATTAATGGGTCGTTGAGTGACGTGGTTTCTTACCCCTCTATCTTCTAGTACTGATTGATAAAATAAAAGAAACATCTATTCAACATTGATTTTTAGGATTTATTGGAAGCCTTTCAACAATACATCTAAAGATATGGTTTGTATTCCGTGCATTGTAATACCAGTAATATTATGGATACTACATCGGCTTTTATATCCTGTCGTGTACTACTTTTTTCCAAGATTAAAGCCCATTTCAGAACCGACAGTTGAGGAATTGGTAAGAATTATTTTTATATATTTTGCACCATAATTATAAAAATTGGCCCCTATGTATGTACCAGAATAGTGAGATAACATCACAAGTACTTCAGTGTATTTTGAAATTAGAAACTTAGACTAATTTATGAACTGTCTGTTGGACGCTAGTCATCTTGTTAAACACCCATCCACTTACTAGGTTCAAAATAGAGTTATCATTGTGAGGAATCGGTAGATGAGACTGTAATTTATGGACGACCTTTGAGCGACGCTCAAGTGACCTTTGGAGTGGACACCTACTGGTTAGGACTAAATGAGCGTTAAAAAGCAGTTAGAATTCTCATTTACAATTGACGGTTAGAGTTAAAAATTGGCTTTATTGTTTCCATCACGAACTGACGTCAGCTATAATGCCCAAGACTTTATTTAGTCGAATGTATTGATGAATTTCCCACCAAAATTCGTGACTCGTTATCTTATATCTGATTAGTTCATCCCTAAATCATAGCCTCGCCAAAGATTCTTGCTGCTCACTTTTATTCTATTCTCACTCTCATTTGTATCCAGAAAAAAATTCGTTGTACCAGTTATAGAAAAATATCACTTTAAGCACAAATATGTTCTCATGTTAGGTTATGATCCATGCTGAGTTTTTTCAAGAATTCCACACTTGTCCAAATTTCATCTTGACTGGGTGATTTTTCTCAGAGAAACTTTACCATGAGCTCTCAAACCAGTTAAAAATCAGTGTAAATGAGAGTGGATTGAACAGCTGTCTCGTCTCAGTATGAAACTGACGGGAAACACATCCACAATACGACCCCTTAGCATTTAACTCTTGGTACTATAACTGGACTATTGGAACATTGTGTTGGAAGCAAACAATCAGCGTCCCTAGCTTGAATCAGTAAGCCATACGCTCTTAAGGCTTTCGGCAATGTTTTAAACAATTATAGCGGGGATAGATCAAGTTGGTTCTCGAAAATCAAATTTAATTTTAAATGGAACAAGATCGCTTTCGCCTAGCAATGTTCTTATCTTGTCAGCCCGTGTATTCATTGGAAAAACTGGATTTTAAAATTTTTAAATTGTTCGTGTTACTATCGTTTTACTTCACAACCCTCCTCTTCTTATATCTCTACCTATCACTAAAGGAACAATTGGACAATATTACGGAAGACGATGTAACCGATACTTGTCAGGTTAGTAAATTATTTCAATTGCAAATCCGTTTTTTTTTTCTTATTTTAGCCATCATCACCTTCAAAGTCTAAATCCGAGTGATTTCTTTCCTTTTGCATTCTGTAAATTGACTTTCGATCTTACTTGAATAATTTAATTTTTTTATAAAAAAAAGCTGGTTGTTTTATGTTTGTACAATAGACGGGAATTATAATAGGATTATTGTGTTCGTCAAGTACCATAGTTTTTTTCAAAAAAAGCAAATTCTAAATAAATTATTCTTCGACCAAACTTAGGGCGGCTCAATGAAAGACTGCCACTAATTCTGAAAGACATATTTAGACTCAGATCATTCTTTAGTGCGGGCATGTATTTGTCATCGTCTCATCGGACGTAAAAAACCACAAGAGAACTTCTTGAAGTTCAGCCTAATGACAAGTTAATGATGATATTTCAAAAACAGCTAGAGGAGTTAGCCAACCATTAAAGTGATATCCGCCCCGATGTTGCTTGGTATGATATCCAAGCAGCTGTGAAAACAGGAATGATATTTACCATTGACTTAAACCAAAATGTTAGGGAAAATTATGTTGAGATGTGCTCTGTGTTTAAGATATTAATAACATTAGTACCTTTTGCATAAGTTTCTAGAAATTCAGGGCCACTGTTAGCTCTATAAATATCTTTTTATTTTCTTTCATCGAAATAATTCCAATCGTAAAACGTCTTTCACTTTTGGGGTTCAGGTGTCGAGGATGCTGGAGATCTATCAGCTATTTCTGAAGTTTCCACCTCAAATTTTCAACATATTTTATCAGTTTTTTATTCGTTCAAAAATTTTCTCAATCCGACCTTTCTTAGGTATATATAACCGAGTTTGTGATACTTTTCAATACTTGACAAATCTACTTTATGGTATTCTGTCCAAATTTATTGACCAATTATTACTTTGTCTTCACGTAATCAGTTTCGTTAATCCCTCAATTCTGTTTCTAAGACTTTATAAGTTGTGTAAGTCTACAGTAAAACTACTACATCGTTAAACCAGTTGGAGATTGTGGAGGTGATTTGATTTGTTTTCATAAGTTTTGCCAAATTCAAAAAGTATTGATGATTTTCATCTACTGAATAAGTGATTATGTTGAGATTTCCTTTTTGGAATGGTCAAAGCTCAAAAACTTGGTAATAGTGTAGTATGGAATCGTAGTGTGAAAACAAATGTGTAAATGCCAAATAGATGCCAAGTTTTTATTCTTTCGTGTGTTACGAGTGGATCAGCAAGTATATTATATCATATTTTTATATTTTATTTTAACACATAGATATTGGTAAAAGGAGGCACCAAATACATATTCACCACACAGACCGCATTTGATATGTGTGAAGGCTGTGATACTGCCCGGGTGCCCGAACCGAACCAGGTGGTTTTCTTAGGAGGCCACACCCCAAGCCTTTGATTTGAAGGTATGACCCACAAGGCAGTGGACCACCTTAAGGAGATGCAGTCCCATGGTAGCCGGTGGCCAACGATTGGTTCATACGCCATTTGTTCCTTCAGTATACTGGAGCCCATGTACACCATTGGTTTGGAATCCGGTTAAAGCGCCGGACATTCTCCTTTCGTCCTCTCAATTTCGTAAACAACACCCGTTGTGCGAGAAGGCAGTGAGTAGGACTTCCCTGGCAGAGGCTATATACACGTGGCCATGTGAGAGGATTTGTAGAGGGAGAGCGGACTCTCCTCACTCTCGGCCGTACCAGTGCATAAGTGAAAAACTATTATGATGAATAGTAAATATATTTTTGTGGTATCCCAATGAGTATAAAAATTGTATTTCTGATGTTTCGTGACTTAATGTAAGCCACTTCTTACTATGAAGAAGTATTCAAATAAGAATTGGTTCGGATGTTAGATTCATTGATTATTAAGTCAACTTAAACATCTGTACACATAAAGTTTCATTACATTTAACGAAAGACACTTGTATTAATATACCTGTATTCTCATTGGCTGATAAATAGCATGGAATTTCAGGGTGACTTTAGTGTCATTCAATTGTATTGTAGTGCAAATGAACAGAAATAATATTCATATGTATAAGTTCGTCTTTAGAATTCAGCTAGGATCACTTTTGTTAAAAACTACTTCGAATAAGTAAGTATTTGAACCTGTCGCAAAAATTCTAGTTATTAGACGATTTCTTACTGAATAAACCTTGTAAGTGCCACGACTGGAAACTATTGAATTCAAAATAAACTTGATAGAAATGTTAAATATTCATACAAGTTGGGTGTCTAAGCAAACAATCAAGTTATATATAAGAAAATAACCCTGAGAACCAAATAATAGGATTTGTCTTGAACCATGGAACTTTCATAAAGTAAAGATTTCTCGATTGTGATTTTTCAGCTCAGCAAAAACAATTAGAACTAAAGCCTATACTTTAAATCAGAATATGATATATGATTGTGTCGAATGAAAATATCAGCGATTAACAACATTAGATTAATCTCTTCCAAAGTATGGTTAGGCTAAATAAGCTAAAGGGGACACAAAATTTGAAGCAATTAGTCCTTTTGATAAATTTGGATTGTATAAGACGAAGAATATGAGAACTATGTGATACTATTTTCGGTGCAATAACAGGTAAAATATAAGCTTAAATTGGTGAGGTAGACGTGACAAACTACTGATTATTAGTAAGTAGTGTGAATTTGCACGGACCTTTGAATTTGGCAAACAATACCAAGTAAATTTAAACTTCACATCATTGGACAAGCAAGTGGCTATCAGGACTCAGTAGCTAAGTGGATAACGCAATGGCGTTTGAATCGAACAGCACTGGGTTCGAGTCCCAGAGTGAACACCAAATCTGAAGTGCAGGTCCATCCACCTGATGAGTCCCAAATGGGACGTGACGCGCATCCTGGATTCCACTGCTAACCGCTTGTGAATTAATGCAATATCGAGACAATCCACACAGGATACGTATATGCCAAAAACAGACTGATCATTTGTAGTCCTAAACATCAGTAGGAAGATTCAAACAAACCAATTCCGTAAGTATGTTCATACACACACATACACTGAAATGATATACATAGTTATGTGATATGATAAAACATGATTTTATGTGTAAATAAATAACAGCTGACACTTAGAGAGTTTTACAATGTGGAAAGTGAAAAAACGTTATATATGAAGCTTAAGGACTCTAAAATATACAGTATCTGAACATGTTAATTGGAATGTCATACTAAAGTGTACAACTGTTAACTGAGCTTGTATAGATAACAGATCTACGTCATATTGACTCTAAGGTATCAGAATGATTATCTGTTTCCCTACATATTTATCAGGCTTTTGAAGAAATAATGATGACAATTATTATTATTCAGGTAGGGAGCACTTAAGGTAACTCAATAAAATGTACAGGAATTAAAGTAATTTTATCAAAAGAGGGGATTGTGGAGATTTTTGTAGTTCAATATTTAGCTGAAGTTAGAGACTAACACTGTTGGATACCGGCTCAGTGGTTCAGAGGTTAAGCGTTCTCACGCGAGGCCGATAGGTCCTAGGTGAAGACGATGTTAAAATACAGAGTCTTTTGGTAGCACTGAGTAACAATGCCAGAATTTTTGGGATGCGCTTCTCTCCCTCAAAATGTAAGTTGTTGCTTCATGACTAAACTGCGTCAACACCTGAACTAATTATAGGAAGTGAAGTAGTCGAACGCGTTGACAACTTCAATTATCTTTGAAGTCTGATCAGCCCTAATGGGTTTGTGTCTGATGAAATCTCAGCACGGATTCGAAAGGCTCGTTCGGCTCTTACCAACTTACGTCACTGTTAGGGTTTGAAAAAGAGAGCTATCACGGGTTCACGTAGTCTGCGTACGAGAACGAGATTCGATGATCGAGGTCCAGTGAGCTAGCTATTGCTGCACCCCAGCCCCGCTATCAAGAGGGAGAAGTCCAAGCTTGAAATAAGAAGTGTATTCTGCAGCAACCAGAGAAAAGAGCGAAGTCCCTTTAGTAGAAAATATACTCGTTTATATAGTGATTGTACACCCGTTTTGATTAATAATTAGAATGAAATCACATACATGAAAAATACTCACAGTTATAACAAATGCTGAGTATAGTTCATAGTCAATGAAATACAAGAATATTGTATATTATACAGAATAAAATATCATACGAGAAAAGAAAAGAAATATTACATTGCGTAATCATTACATTGAATCAAAAGAATGTAATGATGAATAAAACTCATATTAAGTAAATCAATGGAATATTGATTTTTCTTCCCATTATATCACCTCCCTTTTTTTTGAAGTTCCGGAGTTGATATCCGGATTTAAATTTTCCTAGTTCGTCCTCCCCCACGAAACAGTGTTGGGTCCTCATATACCCAAATTACAATTAGCTTGACTGTATTTAAAACATATTGAGCAGAGAATCCAGTAAAATGGACCGGGTAGTGAGGATAAACGCCATTTAATTTGAGGTCATCAGAGTTTGAATCTCGTGAAATCTTGTTATCAATTTTATTGGGAGCCTCATTTGTAGATGATGAATCATTAAGATAATCAACATCTGATCTATGTTCTGGTAAAACAGAATCTCGATAATAAGATTCGTCAGAAACTTGTGTCACATAATGATGAGAACCATTTGGAGCAGCTGTCATCATTGTACTGCTCGATTTATTTTCTGTTTCATGGGTGGTTACTGCAACACTTCCATGAACATTTAGCAGGGCGTCCTTTTGTGAGCTGGATGCATCACTGTCTTTACATGCTGTTTCGGGGATAATGGAGTTTGAATCCATTACCGCGCATGTTTCTGGAATGGGGAGCACTGGACCACCGATCGGATCTTGAGTGACAGCTGTTTCGTTTGAAGTACGGGTTATCGAGGATTCATCGAGGCTGCAATCATTATCCAGCTCAGTGTGCAGTTGAGAAATCAATTTATCCACTTCTGTCGCATCACTAAAGCATGAGTGATTCAGTAGCTGCGTGCGTAAATTGACTAATAAGGCCAAGTGTCGCTCGAATAGCAGCTGTAATCGATCGGAAGGGAGAGTCATTTTTTCTTTTTACCCCGTCGCCAATTGTTAGGGTTTGAAAAAGAGAGAGAGAGATCACGGGTTCACTTAGTTTGCGAACGAGAACGAGGTTCGATGATCGAGGTCCAGTGAGCTAGCTATTGCTGCACCCCAGCCCAGCGCAGGCGAGATATCCGTCTATCAATTAAGGGTCGAGCATACTGCCCGGCAGTTCGTTCCGTTCTACTATACGGCTGCGAAACATGGCCTTTAAGAGTAGAAGATACTCATAGGCTACAAATATTTGACCACAGATGCCTTAGAAACATTGCTGGGATCACCGGGTAAGTAATGGTGAGGTTAGACGTAG